TTTTGAGCGCCCGCAGTGCTGCCAAATTGGCAGCGGAGCGCAGGCGACGCTCTAGGACCGATGGTGCGGGCCCAGCCTAGGTCATGGCAGCCTAGGCGAGGAGCCCTTCGACCTGGTGACGTGGTCCCCGATATAGGGGAGGACCTTGAGCAGCAAGATGTTGCTGCCGACGTGAATGAGCCCAATCAAGGAGACGATCCTGGCGGCGGCCCGCCCGGAGAGCCTCCTGGTGATCCTCTAGAAGGAGAAGGAGATCCCTGGCGACGAGCTGAGGACCCCGGCGCGGCACCCTGGCAGCCACACCCGTGGCGTACTAGCCCGGTCTGGGGTGGAGAATGGCAGGACCGGGTGCACCGGGGACACGACCATGATGAATGGCATGGCGCAGGCTGGTCACAAGGAAGCTGGGATAGCAGGACTTCCTGGCCGGCAAGCGGCATACTCAGCAGCAGACAGCTCAGGGACTTCCACACAGCTGAGTTACCCAAGATAGGGAGTTTTGGCGAGCACGGCTGGCAAGGCGGCGGCGAGACGACTTCGAGAAGAATGAGCTGGGCCACCGCCGGCCAGTGGGACAACGGCTGGCCGGCCGATGCGCAGGCCCCCTGGAGCTGGGGCAAGGACAGGCCCACTGAGAAGGTTTCGGTGCCCGAGTTTGAGGGCACAGGGGCCGACGACTCGGAGATCGGCAAGAGCGCGCGGAGCTACATCCGGAAGGTCCAAGTTTGGCTTCGTTGCACGCGCTTGCCGCCAGAGCAGCGCGCTTTGGCACTCTACAATGCCCTCTCCGGGCGTGCTTGGATCTACGCGGAGGAGCTCGACATGGACACCCTAGCCTCGGCCCATGGTGTGCCCTACTACCTGGAATGGGTGCAGACGAGGTTTGCGGAGGTCGAGCTGCACAAGATCTCGCAGGTGATGGGCGATCTTTTTAAAAGTTGCAAGCGCCGCCCGGAGCAACCGATCCGCGACTTCATCGTCGAGTACGAGAGACTACTTCTTCGCCTTCAAGAAGTGCAGTGCGAGCTCCCGAGCATGGTCAAGGCCTGGTTGTTTGTGGATAAGCTCCGGCTGAGTGAGAGTGAGGAGCTAGCTTTGCTCTCAAGCGTGAACAACCAGTGGTGCGTGAAGCGGCTCCAGCAAGCCGCCCTCCTGCAAGAGAGGTCGTTTCGCAAGGCCGGCCATCCGGGCAACGAAGGCAAGAACGGCTGGCGTGGGAACGGCCGTTGGCACAAGAACACCGTGCACATGACCGCCGCCGCGGAGGAAGACGATGAAAGTGAGGGCAGCGGTGGGGCTGCCCATGAGTCGGACAGCGACCTGGTGCCGGAGGACGTGGCAGCGGACCACCACACGGCCTACGTCGCCTACCAGGCCGCTAAAGACCGCTACAAGGCGGCCACCCAGGGCCGTGGCACAGACCAAGCTGAGGTGAAGCGTCGTGCCGAAGAGCGCCTTAGGCTTGCAAAAAGCCGCAGCTTTTGCAGTGTATGCAAAAGGCGGGGCCATTGGCATAAAGACGATGCCTGCCCCTTGAAGGGAAAGAGGCCCGAGAACAACCACAACAGCCCCGAGAAGACGGCCCACGAGTGCCATGCGGTCCACCTGGTGCACATGACGGAGCAGGCCGCCGAGCCCGATGGTGCGATTCCCCCGGGCCCCGACGTGCTCACACCGTGGCTTGCCACCACGTTAAACACGAGGCGCGAGGAGACCTACCTGGAGGAGCCGATCCGCGAGAACCCGGAGGGCACGATCGACAAGGGCAATTGTGCCCGGGGGGCCCAGACACCATGTAGGGTGTACATGGCGGGCCCAGGTGGAAAACACACGGCGGCGGCGCCCATGCTGGCAATCATAGACACGGCCTGCACCAAGACCGTGGCTGGCCACGACTGGTTTGAAGCCTATTGTGAGCTGGCTTCGGAACACGGCTTTGCGCCTGAGATCGTGGAGGAGGTCGACCATTTCAAGTTCGGGGCCTCCCGGACTCATCGTTCGAACTTCTCGGTGCGCGCATGGTTCGCCCTGTCGGGGCGCCTTTTCCAGACTTCTGTGGCCGTGGTCCCGTGCAAGGTGCCCCTCCTTTTGAGCCGGCCGGCCCTGAGCGCACTAGGCCTCATCTACGATGTTGCCGGCCAGACGGTTGCCTTTACAAAGCTGTTCCTGAGCAACCTCCCTTTAGAGTACAGTGCCACCGGCCATCCTGCAATACCAGTTGGCCAGTTTTGCGGCGCACGGCCGCCTACCGACAAGAGCCGAGCCGAGCAGCTTGTATGGGTGCCCGAGCAGGAAGCATACATGGCGCACGGGGGCATCACGGGGGAGGCGGCATCAGGAGATCAGGGCTTCAAGGCATTGTTCTTCCCCAAGAAGGTCCCCACGGTCGTTCGTGAGATGTTAGAGGGTGCTTGGGATTCGGGAGGCCAGGGCTTCATGGCATGGTGGCGCACAGCAGATCAGTCTAGAGACTTCTGGGTCGAGACCCCCACAGAGATGATCCGCGTTCACATGGTGCCCCGTAAGAACCTCTTTGTACCCTCGCGCTGGAGCACCCAACATGTACACCTGAAGCACGCCTTGATGGACATCTTGGGGGGCACTAGGGTTACCGACTTCTTGCCGTGCCTGTGCGAGGGCGCTGTGCTGAAGACCCGTGTTGATCTTTGGCAACAGGAGCGTGAAGAGTTGTCTTGTGGACTTTGGGTCGGCCGCAGCCGATTCTCCAAAGTGGCCAAGCCCCCGCCCGACTCCTTTGCGACCCGCGCGGAGGCACATGGCCTCGACCACGTCCGTATGGAAGCTCAAGAAGGCGGAGATCATCGAGGAGTTGCGCAGCTATGGGGTTCCTTGCCACGAGCGGTGGCTGCTACCGGAGCTGCGGAACATCTTGCAGGAGCAGCGCGCAGCCCGAGCACCACCGGCCGAGACCGACCCCATGAAGGGGATCTCCAAGCTGAGCCTCTCCGAGCTGATCACGCGGTGCCAGGAGAACCAGATCACCTTGCCTTCGAAGCCCACCCGGGGAGCCTTGATTGCGCTTCTTCGTTCCTCGACCCAGGCCCCGGGGGAGAGACTGTTGCCCTTCGGCAAGTTTCGCGGCTGGATGTACAAGGAGACTCCCGAGGGCTACCGGCAGTGGGCCCAGGCAGAAGTGGAGGCGAATGCCAATCACAGCCCCGACCTGGCGGCCTTCGCGAGCTGGGCAGCGGCCAAGGACGAGAAGACGAAGGAGAAGGCCACCAGCGATGCCAACAAGACGATCAAGGACCTGACCGAGGACCCGGAGGTGAACCCCAAGGTGCCGGTGCCCACCGCCAAGGCCCTGGGCTTAGCAGCTGGCGCGACAAGCTCAGACGAGCCTTCGGGACCGTGGGTCAAGGTGCCGGTGCGAGGGGCCGCGCCGAAGAGATCCTGGCTGCGCCGCCCACGCGAGGACGAGGAGACCAGCGACCTGGAGGCCGAGATTCCCGAGGAGGCGCAGCAGGAGATAGAGAAGATCGAGGCACGGCTCGCGGCCCTGAAGCAGAAGCACAAGTTGCCCCCCGGACCGGCGAAAAGGTGAGCGATGACGAGGCCGACGTGGGGCACGCCGATTCCGAGGATGGACGGCGGGACACGGGGCGGCCTTGCTACCACCACGAAAGCACCACGAGCGACTATGAGGCCGCACCGGTAGCGGCACGGAACCCAATCTATATCACTGAGGGTGACCTGGGCGAGGCCACCGACGAGGACGAGGAGCCCGAGGCCTACGACCAGAACGAGCAGGCCACCATCCGTGAGAAGATCGCCGCTGGAGCTCGCCGACGCAGGCGGGCAAAGGAAGGGCTAGGGAAGCGTGCTCAGCGCAGCCTGAAGGGAATCCTCCAGGCAATGGTCTGCTACTGCACGGTCGCGGCCGCTCACACAGCCGAGGTCTTGGAAGGCCCGGCCCGGGACCTATGGAGCGTTTTCCAGAGCGAGCACTACGACCCCGGCGCTGGCGAGACCGGGGCCGACTTCTTGGAGATCTTTGCAGGCAAGGCCCACATCTCTCAGGCCGTGGCCCGGGCGAAGGGGGCCGTGCTGGAACCACTTGATCCCCGATACGGGCACGACCTCTACCACCATGACTTCCAGGAGGCCGTCTTGGAGACTGTGGCGGCGGAGCGGCCACGGATGATTTGGGTGCACCCTCCGGCGAGCCCTTGGTGCAGCAGATCATCCTGTACTATGTCAGGCCAGGACCGCCGTCGGGCGAGGGCGCGAGAACAAGGTCTAGTTCATTTCCTGGAGCGCTTGGCCTCGGTCCAAAGTCGGAACCGCGGCTTTTTCGCGGTACAAAATCCCCGTGGCTCGGAGCTCTGGCGGCACCCTGTCTTGGAAAACTGGATTGATGAGCAGCGGGCCGAGTTTGCCGAGGTTGACCTCTTCGGGGGCGGGCCCCGGGATCAAGCAGCCACGGCCCCGAGACGTAAAGGGATGTCGGTGTTGACTTCGTGCCCTGACCTTTCTGCGGCTATCAACGCCCGCGACTTCGGCAACAAGCGGCTCACAGGACCCCCTGGAGTGGACTTGTGGGGCGAGGCAGCCCACCCCTATGACTTCGCAAGGCTGGTTGCCAGGACAGTGCTGAAGGCCAACAGGCGCGGGAGCTACGAGGTGATGGCTGCAGACGCTGGTGGCCCGAGTCCGTCCTCTTCGGCGGCACCGGCCGGGGAAGGCGAAGCCCATGAGGAACCCGTGGGTGCGGACAGCATCTCCTTTAAGGGCAAGGTCAACCCGGCTGTGGCACAGATCTTGAAACGACTACATCAGAACCTCGGCCACCCCCCGAACCGGGAGCTGATACGGCATCTTCGAATAGGCGGGGCCGGCCCCGCCCTGGTGCAAGCAGCCGAACAGCTGGTGTGCCGCACATGCAACCGCAGCACCAAGGCCAAGCTGCCCAGAGTGGCTAAACCCGTGGTCGCCTTAGACTTCGGAGAGGTGCTCTCCATTGACGTCATCTGGCTGGAGGCGGCTGACAGCGAGGGCGCGGACATCCCTGCCCTCAACATGGTCGACGTGGCCTCCACCTATCAGGTGGTGTACCCCCTTGCTGGGACTAAGTCCGAGGACGCCGTGAAGGCTTTCATGAACGGATGGGTGAGTTGGGCAGGGGCGCCTCGCTTCTTGATTGGGGACCTTGACTCCGCCTTCAAGGACCAGTTCCTGAATTACCTCGACCAGCAGGCCATCCACATCCGCTGCGCGGCGGGCCAAGCACACTGGCAAAACTCGGTGGCAGAAAGGCAGGGCGAGAGCTGGAAGGCGGTATGGAAGAAGCACGTGGAGGCCAATTTGATCCTTAAGGAAGAGGCCCCCGAGGCGATTGCCGCTATCAATGCCGCGAAGAACAGCCTTAGAAACCGCTCCGGGTATTCACCTCGCCAATGGCTTTTTGGCGCGAATCAGCGGCTCCCGGGCGATCCTTTTGATGCGCCCGAGGAGGACGGCATCCACGACCTGGCCTC